TTGGCTAACTGCCAATCTCACAGTTAGCAGCCCAACACTTAACTCATGGCACTACCAGGGTTCCTTCAAGGATCCTAGTTATAGAAAATAAAGTGTACATGTAGCTTATACTCTGAATCCTTACTCACTTCACCTTTTCTATGTAATATGTTGTTGTTGTTAAGTGCCGTCGAGTTGTTTCCAACCCATAGCGGACATGTATAGGGTTTCCAAGGAGCAGCTGGTGAGCTTGAACCACTATCCTTTGTGGTTGTGGTTCAAACGACTTTGCAGTTCAGCGCATTAACCCACAGCGCCACACCAGGACTCCTCTATCTATGTATTATACTTACCAGTTTATCGGTCCCATGATCTGTCTTCACCTCAGAACCAAGTGGAAGAAATAAGTCTGATGTGTGCTCTGGAGAAGGTGCCTCCCCAAGAACTATCAATCCCTGTGGAAGAGAAAGGTGAGAAACCACATAAGTGAATGACAAAGGATTGAGGAAAGGGAGAATACATTGCTAGAGGCTCTTTCCTTTATCCAATGGTCCAGAAACAAACAGCTTTGCTTTTCTACTAAAATATTTTAACAGAAAGTCTAGCAGTACCCATGAATATTCAATAAGGCACAAGACTCAGCCTCAAGCTTCTCTATACAGTCAATAACACATTGAGAGAAATGTAGCTCTCTTTCACTTAAGTGCTCTTGACCTACACAGTTTGTTGGCTATTTCATTCAGATTTTTCTGATTTGAAATCTGTACCAGATTATGGCATTTTATACCACAGACTACTGGGTTTTGTTTTGTTTTTAAGTTAATCTGATTACAAATATAGCTTAAGGATTACCAAAGAGTGCTACTACTATAAATAATAAACTGTATTTGGGCAAACAAAACGACAAGGTGAAAGACAAGTCAATATTGTTGTAGCTGAGTGTCATCAAGTCAGTTCCGACCCATAGTGACCCAGTACAGGGTTTTCTAGAAGCAACTGGAGAGTTTGAACTGTCGATCTTGTGACAGTGTTAAAAACTTAAAAACAAAACAAACAAGAGACTACCCAAAGGCACCTGTTTAGCTTAAGCATAAATATTGATCCACATTAAGTTCTTGCTTTACAATTTTAAATCAAATCTTACATTCACCATAGGAGACACAAGTATATAT